TAAACAGGTGAAGCAGTCCACGGAACATGGCGTCCACGAAGGGGCTGGGTGACGAGTGAGTGAGGAAAAGGAGGAGGATACTTTACCATGGCGATATATATGATTGACAGATAGAGCGTGAAGGGCCGAAACACATCGCCGCCGCACTACATATGGGCGTGATGCTCCAATACTAGCCTTGACAGTTTGCCGCCCATCCTCAGTGGGACTGATTATTGGTTTGAGAAGGCCGCGCAACAGCTACAAATGACGCTCCGTTCAAAGCATATGTTGGATACCAGTCAAACGACCGGGACCACACACCTTTAGGATGGCATTCTCTGTTCATATGCAATGAGTTTGCGAAACTTACTATCCAGTTCTTGAACATTCAATCATGGCAGCAGTGTTTGATGCAAGTGACAAAGTCACAGCTTCGTAGATCCGCCGAGGAGACGAACTCGGGAGACGAATTGTAGGCCATTAGGGAGTTCCAGCATTATTCAAGCTTGGTCGATGTATGTAACAACAGCATGTGCAAATATGGTCTGCTTCAACGAGCTCAGCTGAAGGGGCCTGAGGATTGGTCTCGTACCCAAACGGGTCTCGTATTCGACACGTCTGGGTACGAGACCACTGAGGATACGGCTGAGCACCGAAGCGCTGAACAGCGGCGGCCCCGCTGGTACCTCAGGTGATCAATGAACGTTTCAATGAGAAAAATCGAGATAATCGAGTTGGCATGAATTACATAATTCAGCTTTCTTCGCGCTTAGTGACCCAGTTTCTCGATTTAATTAATGTCACTTTCCACTGGGAATGAACATGCGTGGACATTGGAGGATCACGTGTACTGGGGCTTCATACTTGAGTAGTGACTGTTAGTGGCTGTCACCTCATTCTCCTCTATTCAAAGCGACCAATTCTTCTCAGTGGCCGTAGAATGTTACGAACTCGCTGCTCTGCATTTTGTAGATTGCGCTCAAGGAACTATGCCACTGCATTGGGCCCTCACGCACTGGTGCTTCTCGAACACCGTGATGGTGCTATCGAGTCCGGGTCGCTCTCGGCGGTCACAGCGGCGCAGCAACTAGGCGGTCAAATCACCGGCCTCATCGTGGGTGGCCCCGAGCAAGTGCAGGCCGTTGTGCAGAGGGCGAAGAAGTGAGTGTTGCGGAGTTTTCGCGGTACAACCAGGGATAACTGACGTATCCAAGCCTGAGTGGATTGACTATGCTGCTTCATAGCAGTTCGCCGCAGTACGCCAATCAAGTCCCTGAAGTTGTCTCGCCCTTGATAGAACGTCTCCTCGTTAACGGATCGTCGTTCACTCACGTTGTCTCCGCCCACTCATCCTCAGCCAAGTCTTTGCTTCCCCGCATTGCTGCCAAGCTCGACCTCCCCGCCGTCTCGGACGTGACCTCTCTCGAACACGATAGCTCTTCCAACTCAACCACCTTCACTCGCCCCATATATGCGGGGAACGCAATTGCAACTGTCAGAGCTCCCTCGTCGATCCCACTCAAGTTTTTCACGGTACGTTCTACCGCATTCTCAGCAGCGCCGTCGGGAGGGGCAGAAGAGGCGGAAGACAAGGCAGTAGAACCGGTCGAGGTGGCCGATTTACCTTCACAGCATATCAGGTCCGACTATACCAAGTCTGACCGGCCAGACCTTGGTGTCGCTAGTAGAGTCGTGTCGGGTGGTCGCGCACTTAAGAATGCAGAGACATTCAAATCGACGTTGGAGCCATTGGCAGATGTTTTAGGTGCTGCTATCGGTGCATCGCGTGCTGCGGTAGACGCTGGCTATGCGGACAACTCTCTCCAGGTTGGGCAAACTGGCAAAGTCGTTGCGCCGGAACTTTACATGGCGCTGGGAATCTCTGGAGCCATCCAGCATCTTGCAGGAATGAAGGATTCCAAGCTCATTGTCGCTGTGAACAAGGTATTGCGTCACGAACAACTGAGTTTGGTTGTGCTCAATGTGCATACATTATCCAGGATCCTGATGCGCCGATCTTTCAAGTGGCAGATGTCGGGTTGGTAGCAGATCTATATGAAGCTGTCCCAGAGCTAGTTCAGAAGTTGAAGCAATGAAAATGAGGACCACCGTTGCATTGTATATCCTGCGGGGTGGGGAAGCTGGTCTAGACGAAAGTAAAGGACCTGTGGAAAGAGAGATGTATACGATCGCCTGGATGCTATTTGGCAAAACTTGACTCCCTGGCGGGGAGTCGAACCCCGCTTTCGCGCGCACACAGCAGTAATGACAGGCGCGTGTACTAACCGATATACTACCAGGGACTTGTCCTTTAATGAAATATCGATGTGCTTTCACCTGTCTGCACAGAGACACCTGCTCACCGCGTCGAGAGCCACACACCTCGCAAGCTCCACTCCCGCGCATGAGTAAGCACCCCCGTTGACGGGCACACAGCGACACTCAGGAGCTCTCCCAGCTCTCGTCCTGACTGTCGTCTTCTACTCGCCCGCCGGCGTGTCACCTCGTATTCGTTGCTATCAGCTTTCGTCCTGACCGTCACTTTTCGCTCGCATCATAGTGTATAGTCAACTTTCGTCTGCCCACCTTCCCTCCCTTACACTTTAGTAGCTACCCGGTTTCGTCCTGTAGTCTCACAAACCTTTAATCGACTTGTCTTGGCCGGCGGTGGATATACATACTCGTGGCCGGCTGAGCCCCGCTAAAAATGTCGCCAGGGACTACAAGTGTACGAAATAGGCATGTTGGTTATATTAGAACCATAGCGCTGGTATGAAATTTCAGATGTTCCATAAAAGAGCCTGGGCTTTTCGTACTTCGTCGGCGGGCGAAGTCTCCAACAGCCAA